GTGCCAAATTTGAAATGTCCATAAAAGTTAAGTATATTTTTCTATCAAATAAATTTTTGGTATTTTCGGTGCAAAGAAAACAAAAAGGAAGAACTTCAAACACGAGTAGAAATTTTATATTTCGTGTATTTTTCAATGGATTGCCTTGAAATTTGGTGTGTGAAGTAAGGGTCCAGTAGAACACATTCACTGAAAATATGTGATACTTTGGATTACAACAGTCTGAGCTACAGAAAGTGGAATATCGCTGAACTATCACTCTGTTGTTGCTGCACGGCACACTACCGTGTGGTTTGGTGTGAATTTCGTACGGGCTATGCATTAACCGTCCCTAATTTAGCAGTGAAAGACTAGAGGGAAGTCAGCTAGTCATCACCACCCAACACCAACTCTTGGACAACTATTTTACCGACGAATTGTGGGATTGTCCGTCACATCCCCCACGACTGAAAGAGCAAGCATTTTTGATGGACGTGGATCAAATCCGCGACCCTCTGACTGTGAGTCAAGCGCCCAAACCACCTGGCCATACCGAACCACTACCGTGTGTTTCAATATCAAAATACCAATAAACATTGTTTCGAAATTATCCTTATGCATGCATCAAATGCCCTAATACATAAAAATTATGTTACTTCGAAGATTTATCAGCATCCTATACCTAAAAATCGCCAATCAAAACCCTAAAAAATTAATGCATTTATCAGAATAATATGAGGAAATTTAAAACAAGTATGTTATGAAAACCTGTATTTTCAGTGTTAGCTATTGATCGAACCAGTGAATTTCCTCTGAAACACTGCTGCATCCGTTTTATATTGTTAAATCACTAATATATCATTGTTCTTATGTGTGCGCCCTTTTACAGGCTAGACCCCGCCCTTCAAACAATTCTGTATCCATGCCTGACTGTGATGAAAACTTGAAATTGATTTCTAATTTTTTTTTATGTAGAAACTTATCAGGTAAGTTGTCTTTAATAGCACCCCAGTAGCACAGCGGTATGTCTGTGGACTTACAACGCTAGAAACCGTTTCGATACCCGGGGTGGGCAGAGCACAGATAGCCCATTGTGTAGCTTTGTCGTTAATAATTATTACCATTTCCTGAAATAATATTAATTTGATGATAGGTTGGTAGATCTAAAGCCTGAATGGCTACTTTATTTGCTTGTATTATGAACAACTATAAGTAGGCCCACTAGAAGTCTTCAGCTCCAGGCCTGGTAGACCCTTAATCTAGCCCTGTCCATAATGCAGGAGATTTACAATGTGGTATAATTTTCAGGGATTATTTGGATAACACGTGATAGTTTTCATTCAGTTGTTCTGCATGAAAACATGCAAAAATCAGGCTATTTTTAGAGCAAGAGTAGAAACAATAACCTTTACATATGAGAAATTTAATTAGTATTTGTAAGAAATTTGTATATAACCTTGTACAAGTGGGTGTGTTTTACTCAAAATATAAATGGGATATATATATATATATATATATATATATATATATATAT